GTATAGTTCTATTTATTTTCTTTTGAAGATACCTAAGTAGAGTACAACAACTATTGATAATCTCCTACCTCTTCTGTCTGTAACTCACTATTATTTGTCTATTTGTTTTCCTGAGAAACTATCTTGTAGATAACAATATGTAAAACAATAACCATTGATAATTTCCTACCACTTAGTCTGTAATTTGGTAAGCCCCCCCATTATTGTTATCCTTCTTTTACTCTTTAAAATAAATAAATAAATAGATTAAGCCTCGTAAACCACTGATATCTAGCACAGTGCTTTATAAGGAGATAGGCAACAAAAATTGAGTACAGTACTATATATTCATATTAATAAACATGTGAGAGCTAAGGGTGTAATTTAGCAGTTCACTGCTGGGTTAGCATGCACAAGGTCCTGGGTTTGATCCTCAGCAACACACACACACACACACAGGAAGGGGGAAGTTGAGTATTTTTCTTTACTGCATCACTCTGTGGGGTCAAAAGAACTGGGATATTTTAACATTTATTCTGACAGCAATCTGACTGTTAGTGAGCCAGTGATTTTTAATATGAGAAATGAAAAAAACATTGCAAAAAATTATAACTTGAAATCATATTTAAAGTGGTAAGACTGACTAACACATATACAACCTTTGCACTTAAACTTTTCAATTCTTAAAGAAATTAATTGGACTTTCAGAGCTTAAAACAAATGAGAGGTAATTGATACTAGTAGATGTCTTGGTTACTTTTCTCTCATTGCTGGGACAAAATACCTGACGCCCAGAATTAAGGAAGGAAAGGTTTATTTAGCTTACACTTCGTGGAGGTTTCAGTCCATACTTGGCTGGCTCCAAGGCAGGGTGACACATGGCAGAGAGAAACAGTTTATGGTGGTGGAAGATAGCAAAAGCAGCAAGAGGAAAACGGAGGAGCGGCAGAGGACAAGATTCTTTCCTTCCCTTATATTGTAAGCAAACTCTGCCCCAGGGTGGGTGTAGCACTCACACCCATAATCCCAGCATTGGACCATGGATAAAAAAAAAAAAAAAAAAGCTCTATAAGCCCACCCCATGACTGCATGAGGCTTTGGGGGACATCCACACACAAACCATAACAGTAGAAAATTTTCCCAGGTGAGTTTTGGGGGTTTTTCATTTAATTTAGCACAGATATACACAGCATTTCTTGCAACTATTTAATGCACAGCATATCTTCGCTTTTATGATAACCCTACAATAAATCCCAAAACCAGGTTAGTCTTTTGATTTGGTTGCCAAAGGTGTGTTGCATCAGCACCATGGACAGAGGCATGTCCAGGAACTGTTGCGCTAACGGATGTTTTGCCAAAAAAACACTGGTGTGAACGCTCTTCTTGGGATCATAGGAAGATGGTGCCTCTGGGTTTGAATCAACTCAATGGGTAATATCTTGACCTGCTTCATTCGTTGATCTGTACGGATTCACTATTTCTTCAACAAACTGCTCTTCTGCTCCCAAGGCAGAAACTTGCATGCCGAAACAAACGTAAACACCTCACTCGCAAACATGGAGGACATCTGTCTTTTTTTTTCACCTGCCCTGCATCTGTGACCCTTTTTTTCCTTTGCATACCATCAGTCAACCACATGAGCTACTTTTAAAGTATTAAAGAATTGTTGATGCAGTTGAGGAGTTATGATGATACTGAAGTTATGTTTAACACATTCTGACGCTCACCTCTGGTGTTGAGGATTTGCTCCAAGAGAATCTGTGGCCAAGAGTGTGAGGTAGAGTTATAGGGAAGACGAGCCTGGCCGTGAGTCACTCATTGTTAAAGCTGGAGGTCAGGAACAAGAGTTAGGTGTATTTTTTAATGTTTGAAATTTCCCATTGAAAGTATGCATAGAAATCAGTGTATGTCACTAAGAGGCCACCAAAACAGGACAATAATTCCTGAAAACCTTATGATTCTGCACCAAGGCGTGTCCTCGTTTCTCCCGTTGGTGGTGCCCACCATGGTCACCTCTGCACATTACTTCCTGGTTTATTTGGTGGGTGACTACTTCTGTCACCACACTGCAAAGAAGGACAAGGAACCCTAGCTTTGCTCACCACCTACCACCACGTCAGGCACAAATAACTGTTCAATATTTTTCGAGAGAAAATTAAGTAGTGTAATGACTTATTAATATAACTCCCAGCACCTACCACGTGCCCCGTGGAGTCTCCCTGACCCTCCCTCACCTAAGACCTGGTATGTCATTATCACCAAGGAGATAATGAAGAACAAGCTTGAGAGCCCTTTGCTGAGCTTCCAAGTTAGTCTGTAGCGTCCCCAGGCAGCTATAGAAAGAAGTTTTGTTTTGCTTAAGTACATGTGAGAGAGTAAAAAGCTCCAATGTGTAGGGATGAGCCCTTTCCTCTGGATTCATCCCAGGGGATCCATTTCTTACAAAAATGAAACCTTCTCATGCACTTCCCCACAAGACCCAACAGGGAGCAGCCCACAGGTGCATGGGCTGGGGCGCAGTGTAAGGGCAGAACACCTGGTTGTGGTGATAGGTCCAATGTGAAGTTAGGTCAAAACCCAAACCAAAAAACACTGTTTAAATATACAGCAGGACAGACACATAAAAGGAACCAAGACGTGATGCCAAGCACTTTGGGATGAACAGGAAATAAAATATGAGGAGGGCAGGAAGGTACAAAAGAAAGAGATACCTAGATGGTGCCCTGGATAACATTCCAAGGCTTTTAATGCCGCAGTCTGTGAGAAGCAAGTAAGTACCCAGTAGAGAGGATGGTGGGGAAAAAAAAAAGAAAATACATTTTTTAAAAATGCTTCAAAACCTGTCACACCTGGAAGAAAAGACTCACACTCTATGGACAGATGAGATGCACTGATCGTCTACTATGAAGTTCTGGGCACAAAGTGATTTTTTTAAATCCTGTTAAGCTAACATTCTAGTGAGGAAGACAGATAAATGTATTTTCCGATTTTTTAAGTGTGATGATATCCTCCCCCCCCCCAAAAAAAAGAAACTATTTGTCAACTTTTAAACAATCGAAAAACCTGGCACATCACTGTCCACGTTCCTGCATGAAACAAGAGGCCGGGACCAATGGCCACTTCCTTCATCCACTGGAACGTAACTTCCAGCATACTGGTCTGCTCTCAACCTCTGAACCTGCCTGAGTTCTGCATGCTTTCAGCTTTGTGACTAGTGTTCCCTAACGTCCTTGGACTGTCATACTTTACCTCCCCTAGACCCACCAACCACATAGTCCAAAGAGTACATCGAAGACCCTATTCTTACCTGAACCTGAATTCTGGGTTACCACTTACCTTGCAGTAACCTTGGGAAGTTACCTGACCATGCTGAGATCTCAGTATCCTCAACTCTCAAACAGAATTAATCACTTCCGCCTTAGAGGATTTTTGTGAGGACCAGGCTTTGCCTAATTAGCACTTACTTTTACCTTTGGATCTCAGTCCCCGGCAAGTGCTTCTTCAAGGAAAGCTTCCCAGATCTGCTCACTGGTTCTAATCCATGTCTCCCATTGGTAGTGCCCATCACGGTTACCTCTGCACATTACTTCGTGGTTTATTTGGTGAAAGACTACTTCTGTCACCAGACTGGAAAGAATGGCACGCAACCCTGGGCTTGCTCACCACCTACCACCACGCTGCACAGAAATAAGTGTTCAATGAAGTATTGAACGGAGAATGGAAAGCTGTACAATGACTTTGCTGCAACCCCTGGCACGTGCCCCAGGCATCCTCTCTGACCCTCCCTGACACCTGCTGTGGACACAGTACTCAGAGCCTCTCGGTGCTGGCATTTGCACGTTGAATTCTAGAACTTTCTGAGAAATAAGTCACCACGCTGTTTGCTGACAGGCTACCTAATCCCTGAAGCAATGACCTCTGTGCCGAAAAACACCTGGCACACAGCGGGTGCTCCACAAGCAGGCGCGGTTCCAGGAAAGACAGCGATCGGCCAGCACCAGGGCGGGGAGCTGCGCTGCCCCCAGGGCCTCGGCCACGCGGCCGGGCCGCCCACTGCTGTCCTCCCGCAGGGGCACGGGCAGGGGCAGGGGTGGGGGCAGGGACGGGACGGGCCAGGACCGCGCCGCGTGCCTCCGCGGGCACCGAGGTCTGCCGGGCACGACGCTCCCCCACGACCACAATCCCTCCGCGGGACAAAGGAGTCCCCGCGCCCGCGCCCCCCTCCAGCACCCCGCCGTCCGCGGCCGGGAGGGACGCC